ACGCGGCAGCTCCCGCTCCTCAGCAGAGAGGCCGCTTGCCCAGAGAGGGGAGGTTCCTGTCAGTGCCGACGGGCTTTGCCCCACCAGAGCTGTTGATGTTGGGAGCGAGGGGCTGCAGGTGTGGGCACAGCCGTCCCTCTCCCGGGGCTGACAGCCAGAGAGCCCGGGCACCCGTGGCTCCTTGGCTTTTGCTGCTGGTGCAGAGAAGTGTGTGTTCCGAGAGGCTGCAGCGGGCACCAGAGCCCTTCAGCCCCGAGGAGAGCAGCTGAGCTTCAGAGAGGAGAGGAGCATTGCTCACCTTGGCCAGGTCTTCAGAAAAGCCATTGCTCTTACTCTTCCCTCGCAGGGAATAGCAGGGGCTGGCGCGGGTGTAGACAGTGTTTGGTCCCACCAGCCTGGGCAGGGTGTAAGTGCCAGGACCTGGAAGGGGAACGGGAAGAGAGTGTGTGAGAGTCCTGTGGGGAGAGGAGCAGGAAGGACGTCCCTCCCCACGCCTCTGTCTTCTGCCACATGTGGCTCATGGGCAGCTCCGCGCCGCGTTCCCCCCCGTGGTCGGCTCTGACCTCCTTGAGCCGGCACCCCAGGGACGGTGCTGGCGCGCGTTTGTAGAGGAGCTTGTTGGTGTTGTCGGTGTCATAGTCACCTGGGGCAGGGGAGAGTGGAGAAAAGCAGTGAACCTGGGGGTTTTTCCTCAAGCCAAAGAGGAAGGTCAGGAGGAGGTTTGTTTTCTTTCTGTCTGGGAGCCTCTGAAGCCTCTTCAGGGCTGAGCTGGTGGTTTTGAAGCCCAGTAGCAGAGGGCAACAACACGGCTTGTCTCGCTGGGAAGAAGCGGTGGAGAAACGGTACTCACTTGGTCCAGGGGTGACCTCAGTCTTTGTCTTGGGACGGCCACAGATTGGCTGTGCTGGAGCCACATACTTCCCAGTCCTGGTGATGGAGGCCTGGATATAATAACAAGGACCCGGAGTGCAGTTTTCTGCGAGGGAACGTTTGGACCCTTGAAGGCTGTAGGCAGGAGCTTTGGCTTTGCTGGGATGGTGATCCAGGTAACCTGGGAAGGAAAGGCTGTGACAGGACACCTGCCTGCAGCTGCATCACTACAGGTAGTTTCTACGTGAAGTAGTTGGAGTTGCCAGCCTCAAGAAATTCCCTTCCTGTGGTACTTTTATCTCCCAGAATGATAGTGGAAGAGGAGATGATGAAGGAGGAGAAGGAGAAGATAAAGAGGAGGAGGAGGAGAAAAGGATGAGTTGGGAGCAGCAAGTTGGTAGCAAAGACACAGAACAAGCTTCCTCCTGTGTCCTCAGGGTTACGGCCCCGCTAAGGCCCCTCCGTGCTCAGCAGAGTCGGGCAGCTCCTTCCCAGGGCTTTGCCACGTGCAGCCTGAGCCTTTGCCACAACCAAGAGCACAGGGGCTTGAAGTGAAGGGGACCGGAGCTGTGGCTGCTTGTCCCCTGGAGGCACTTGGATGTGGCGTTCCCTCGCAATGGGGTTTTTACCTGTTGCCCCGGGGATGGAATACTTGGGTCCTGGGTTGCTAAACTGGGCCATGATAGGTCCACGTGGGCGGTGAGGTCTCCATGTCCCCACCCAGGGTCCATCCATGGTGAAGGTGCCTACAAAGACAACAGGGAGAGCAGGAGAGTTGCTGAGGGGCTTCCGGAGAGAGGTTGGGGTGAAACCTCCCCGGGAGGAGCAGCGACGCTTCACCTTTCTCCACCTCGGCCATGGGGCTGGGTGCGAGTGAGCTTGTCGGCTGCGGCAGCTCTGGGTTGCAGAGCACGGCGAGGGCACGTGGCGAGGACACGCGGCGAGGACACGCTGCGAGGGCACGTGGCGAGGGCAAGGACAGGCGGTGAAGGCGAGGACAGGCGGTGAAGGCGAGGACAGGCAGCGAGGGCGAGCGCAGGCAGCGAGGGCTGGAGAGGTTGTGGCATCAGTTGCCCGGGAGCTTTAGGAAAAGGCGCATTGTGACATCATGGGGGTCCTGGTGTCATATGTGTTCTCGTGTCTTCCAGCTGGTGGGGAGCTGGGGACATCCATCTTGCAGGGCTCTGCAACAAGGAGAGAGCTGCTGGGATGTGTGTGTTTAATCCCGGAGCCGTACGCTCCTGGGCTGTGGGGATCGTACAATAAATGTGGATGGACATTGGAACACCTGGAATTGCTGCTTCGTGTCTTATTTTCTAGCTGACCCTTGATGTCCGTTTTTTCCCTGGGGGAAGCCAGCTGGGCCTGGTGTCAGAGGCAGAATTTGCTGCTGGGGGGTCTCGGTTCGTGAGGTTTAGGTTTTTTTCTCTATGGTGCCACTTTTGTGAGTTTGTCCTGACAAATCAAGGTGAGAGAGACCTTTCCCCAGGTGACACTGGGCAGACTCTCCTGTGTGGGTGTCCTGGGCCATGCCAGAAGAGCTGGGTGCTCGCTGCAGATGGGGACTGTTTTCAGATTTCCCCCCCGAAAAGCCACATGCCCCGTTTTCCACAGGTTTCTGGTATGGATAAGGATTGTGAGCGGCACAGGAGGGTTTCTGTGCTGAGCCTGGCTGGGACGCAGCCGGGACCGCTGCCCCGAGCAGACCGAAGGGCCACCATGGGCTGTACCAGAGGCTTTGGTGATTCCCTCAGGTCATTCAGAATGAAGTTGCTGACCCATGTGTGTGTCTGTGTCTGTTTCTGTGTTTGTTGTGGGTGAGTCTGTATATATAACAATGCTGGTGTTTAGACTTTGTCAAAACAAACAGCATCTTCTTCTAACAATAAGGAGAAAAAAAGACCCTTATTTCTAAAAACAGATGTCAGAAATAATTATAAAACATCATCTGAATTTTATTTAGAACTTAAAGAAATAAGATCTAAGATAGGCTGGAAGGTGACAGGCGTCGTACTCGGCACACAGAGCTTAGAAAAACAGCTGCCAGCGTCCAATTTTCTCCATTTTCTATAGATGTTGTTTTCCCAAAGGCTTTGGATATGAGGAACTGGAAGTCATGGGGAAGTGTTGGCAGCAGCTGGGTCAAATATTTTGTCAATTTAAGCCTCTGCCCGAACAAGTTTCTGAAACAGAAAGTGAGAGCAGTGAATGTAGCATCCCAAAACACAGAGCTGCGGAGCTGAGCCGGCCTTACCTACGACTGAGCCACGGACCGAGCTCGTGACCTCTGGCAGAACTCGCCCGAGGACAAAGGCTCCGTCTCCCACCGGCCGGTGCTCACCGGGTCGGTACGTCGTGAGTTCGTGTGCGATCACTAACAAAGAGCAAGTGTCACACGTGCCAGAGTCTTTCTTGCTGTTACCTGGAAGTTTTCCTTCATCTTGGCTCTGTTCCTAAAAACACACCTGCATGAAGCAGGTGCTTCTTCCACAGGGGGAGTTGGCATCTCCATAAATTCTGGCCAACAAGAAAAATCCCTGTATTTGTCGTGGAGCCCATCCTTTGTTTACCGAGCTCTCACAGCCCTTGGGAGCTTTGTGCTGGTTATAACCAAACCTGCGGCCAAGGGATGCTTAAGTGAAAGTATTTGGTGCTCTTTGTCCAGAGGCTGGTACGAGGCTGCACAGTTCCCGACACTGATGACAACAAAAGGAATGAATTACCAGCAGATTGACGAGGGCCCTCACGTGCTCCGAGGGAAGCTCATCAATACATTCCTTTAACGCAGTCAAAGCAGCTCTAGTCAAATCATCAACTTCATAATGAGAAATCGGCCCGGTGTGCAGCTCTTCAGCAGAGCCTTCAAGAAGTGTCTGAAGAAAACTGGGGACGATCTCGTGAGCAGAGCCAGCTCCTGGAGTACGAGAGACAAAGCCGAGTGTGATAAACAAACCTTCCACTTGCTCAGGTTCAGCCTGAGCAGAAGTTCAGTGAATTCAGGGTTATAAAATAAATATTAAAAATTCAAAACAATATTTTTTTAATCGGCAAAACTTACCAAGGGAGCTGCAGAGCACCATGGTGATGAGAAGAGCAACAGTCACCTTCACGGTAGGGCATGGCATTTTCTGTTTGTTGTGTGTTAAGCTGTGAAGGCCAGCGAGCGTCCTTTGCCACCGCACGCAAAGACCTGGCCTATATATGTGGGGAATTACGCAACGCAGCGGGAGGAGTGGGCCCAGCGGGTCACGCAGCTGCGCTAAAATTGGGTCCAGGTCACGCTTGTTTATGGAGTGGACAGATGAAAAATGTGGGTGACCTCTGCTTTCACCAGCTGCTGCCGTGGGACCCGGAACAGCGCACGTGGTGCTGCGTTAGCGAGAGTTCGCGCTGACATTGCGATGGGACGTGGGGGGTTTGGAGCTCGGCGCGGGGGGCGAGGCTGCTCCATCCCTGCAAGGTGCAGAACTGCAAAGTCAACAGCCAACACACCGCATCAGGCTGTTCATCCGGGGTGCTCTCAAGCTCATTTATTGCAGCCTCTGATCTGATTTCATGCAGAAATGCTGCTACTTCTTTTGCATCATTCTTCTTTTGTTGCTTTCCCCGCTTCTCTTCTGTAACTCCAGTTCTGCAGGGATTAATGTGGCTTCTTAAGTATCATGATCTGTGGCCCAGAAATATATAAAAGAGTAGGCTGATGCATGAATGAAAATAACCACACATTAAAAAAGAACATCTCTAATAGCTGCTTCCCTGCAGCTTTCCAGCTGCTCCCAGCCAAGCGTGCGCAGCTGAGGGACGGAGAAATTGCCTCTGTGAACTCCGAACTGGCAGCTGAATCAGAGGTTGATAATCTTTGGAACAACACCACAGTGTCACACCTCACCTTAAAAAGGCAAAGCATGTTTTTAAGGTAAAAATGAAAGGCCTGTTGGCCAGCGGAAGCAACACTGAGCACACGTGGCTGGTTCTTGAGTCACAGATCTCACTCTGCTAGCTGGCAGCCAGGCGGGCTCCTTATCCTTTCCTGCTTTTGTACTCTTCCCCTCAGTGCTGGCTCTGTTTGCTTTGGGTTATTTTTCCAATTTAAATTAGGAGACCAAAGGCTTCTCTGGTTTGTGCTCCAGCACGTCTAGATGACAGTCAGCAATTCTCAGGGTACAGAAAACTCCTTCACCAGGTTTTGAGGATGTCCACAAAAACAAGCGAGCAAAGTGCGGTTTGGGACAGGGATGCATGGAATTTCTTGGCAGAGGATTCCAGAGAAGGAGAGAGGGGTTTTACTTTCCTATTTGCTTAGAAAATGGGTTCTGTTTAGCTGGGAGCCAGCTGTGATGTTTAGCAAGCAGAGCCTGGCAGGAACCGTCAGACTGCATATGGCAGGACCACAGGAGAGCTGCAAGAACTGTGCTGGGAGCTCCAAGGGATCTGATTAGCTGCTCGGCTTCATTTTCCTTCTTTATTCACCATGCTTTAAAAGAAAGAAGCAGTTGGCTGTTGACACAATAAGGAAGTGGCCCAGGCAGGGACATGGCGCCACACAGTCCCCCACCCAGCCCGGATCTTTGGGGGTCCAGCCACCCGAGAGCACAATGACGAGCGTTGCAGGATCCCCAGGACAAGGCTCAGTCCACGGTTTGTCCTGTGGCTGTTCAGTCTCTAAGCTGCGAGTTTAAGGAATTCAGTGTGAAAAGCTCCAGGGAGGTTTTACCACCAGCTGTCCTGGCAGGAGCTTGTCCTGGTTTTTGCATCCCTGGAGCTGATCCCACTGGGAGTGAACAAGGATGCTTCTGAAAATGAGGTATTTTGTTCATGTTCTTCTGGTCTGAAACAAAGATTGTCTCTAATTCTGTTCTAAAAGAGTATTAATTTCAGATTTGCCTCAATTAGTGGCAAGCAGCTTAACAAGGTCTGTGATGAAGGGGAGGGGAGCACATCCTTTCATGGCGTACACATCCCATCATTATCTTTGTGCCACTAAACACCCCGTTCCCAGTGCAGGGACACACCAGCGCTGCGGGACGGTGCCACCGCGCTCAGCCTGCCTGTCGCAACACGTGAAGGGAGGGTGCCGAGCTCTTTCAGGGGTGCCTGGTGACAGGGGGCACATCTGGAACACAGGAAGTTCCCTGCAGCACAGGCTGGAGAAAATGCTGGAGACGCTCTGTAACCACATCCCCAGGGATTTATTTTCGTTTCTAGGAATCCTTCCCGCTCCTGCTCTGTGGAAGGGTCCCTGGAAATAAAGCTCTTGTGTTCAGTGACAGCACCGAGGATGCTGGGAGAGGGGCACAACTCCAAACTGAGCCCAGGAAGGGGTTTATTCCCACAACAGTGAGGCCATTTTGAGCACAGCTGATCCTCATGCACTATTCCACACTTCCTGTGATTCCACAACCACGTAACCTGTCCGGGAGGGGAAGCACACACACCAATAGCCCTTCTCCCTCCCTCCCTAAGGAGGATTTCTGGCAGCGTTACCCATCTGATTATCACTTTGTTAAGCTAAACTTAATTTTTTTTAATTTACTTTTATTTCTTATTTTGTTTCCAGGTGCACACAACTTGTACTCTTTTGCAACCATTTTGTCTGTTGTTTTCTGGCATCCTGCAGGTTATTCATCATCCACAGCTCCCAGGCTGCAAGACACTAGTCCTGGGTACAAAGGCTGTGGGTCTGAGGCTTCATCCAGAAGGTAACTCTGAAGCCACATCCCTCCATGAGATGAACTCATAACTTCACCTTCCTACAGGACACAAAGACCCACAACTGTTTTATAAATGAGCATTTGAGGCTAAAGGCATGCAGAAAAAGGCTTTACAGACATGGTGTTCTCAAGGCAAGCAGCAGCAGAATCTGGCTTGACCTGCCACTGAGGGATTGTTCCTTTGTTTGCTGTTCCAGGATCCGGTGTTTTGTGCAGAGCAAACAAGTGCCTCAGAGCAGAGGCAGCCACCTGGACTCAGAGGCAGCAGCAGGTGATGTGGAGAAAATGCTCTTGGCATTTGGAAATGGGAAGTTCGGAGCAGAAATTAGAACTGATTTCACCAGGACACGCAGTTTCTCCCCACTGTCACTCCAATGGGGGGAGATGACAGACTCACCTTCAGATCTTCATGGAGAGTCCTCTCCCAAATCTCTGCCAACCCCTTTGAGGGATGCAGCCCCTGATCCAGGCCCATGGCACTGCTCTTTGCCCAAGGTCTGCGTGCTTCGCCTCAGCTTTACACCCAGACAGCTTCTAGGGTGGCCCATTTTGTTCAAACCTTCCTGCTCTTGGCCTGTTTCCCATCACAGCTGCAATCTCGCCACGTTTCTGGTGGTTTAGTGCCAAAGCAAGTCCCAGGCTACCTTGGACAGGGCTGATCTCCTTGGACAGAGCCAGATCCTCCAAGGAAGGGCTGAGAAAGGCGTTATGCAGCAAGAACAGTTGCAGAACACCTCACACACTAGATTTAATGCCAAAGGATACTCAGATGTTTAACATCGTACAGGGAATGCCAGAGTCATGTGTAGATGTGCAGAGGTAACAGGAACCACACTGCAGTGAGGCTTTGTCTGGGATGCCAAGCTCTTACACTTAAAAGCTATTTTTAATAGCTTTATTTGCTTGAAACTAGTTTGGTTTTTTTTTCTTTTTTTCTAGATTTTCAGCGCCTCTGAACCCAAATAGCATTGGGATCCCACCTGAAAACAAACCTGGAAGAAACACTTTGAAATGTCACTCCTGAGGATGTGCTGAGAGGTCCTGCTTCACATTCCTAGTCCTGATCACACACTGCTGAGGAGACATGGTAAGAAAAGTCCCCATCTTCCTTGTTTAAATTGTTCTAAACAAAGCTGAACCACGACAGCGTAGCTTAGAGGGGCCAGCTGCTTTATCTACACACCTGGTTTGCAAGATGCCGTCCCACTCCGCTTACGTTCAGGATGAGTCTGAAGCATTTGACAGAAGCAAAAATCACAGGTAATTTTGTTGCGATCGGTTGTATAAAATAAGGGTGAAATGGCTCAGAATTGGCACTGTGAGCGTTTGCTTTGAGGGCAGAATCGGCCTCACCATTGCAAGTAACAGCTCTTGGCAAAATCCCGGTGCTGGATTTTACCATTGTTACTAAGCTTCAGTGGGCCTGGAAGGCTGGACGTGGCTTTGCTCTTGGCCCAGATTCTGCCATCTCGACCTTTTGTTTGTCTGTTTGTGTTCCTTTTTCACAAGGTATCCAATGCTCGTCATGATTAAAGAGACAATATTAACCACTCCCCAGCCCTCTTTAGTTTTTTGGACTTGTCAGTAACTTGCAATGAACCGGTAGGTACTGGAAATGATTCCAGTATCCCAAGGGCACTTACATTCCTGAGAGCCTAGGAGGTCCAGGGTGAGGTCAGATTGTTTCTCAGGAAGAAACATCTTTGTTTTCACTTGTTCTTTCTTGGAGCAGTTTTAGGTTTGAGACCTCAACTAACTTTAAAGGATCACAAGTTTACCACGTGGTAGCGATCCCATTTTTCTGTTTGTTATCATTTGGCTCCAGTTATTTTTTTGTGACTCCAGGGAAACTGTATCAGTCTAGAAAAGACAATATATTGGGAAATACTGTTTTATGGCTGCCCTGTTTCTCGGTATCTGCTGGGCACCAGCTGCTGTGACAGGTTAGGTGGATCTCGCCATTCTGTCACCTGTGCTTTCATCACATTTTCTGTAAGTCAGAACAGGCAACAGAATACAAGAGCTGATCAGACCTGGGGGTGGAATTATCTCTGCATGCAACCAGGAATCTGCCCTGCACAACAGCAACAGAACTGGGGTTTTATGGTGAAGACTGTCTGCTCAGGAGTGAAAAATCTGCCAGTGGAACATTCACTGAAATTCAGCTCACAGGCAGGACAGGACTCTCCTTGAGAGCCGTTCCCCAGCTCAGGGTCAGGCACCGACCTCCAGCCAGACCCTTCCAGAAAGCACGTGCACCTGGAGCTCAGGAAGGGCTGTCCGGACAAGGAGGAATAAATGTTAAAAGAAATACCTGAAATCAAGAGTGAAAATATCTTAAGATCTTGAGGTTGTAATTTCCTGTGATTTCCACTTGTGGTTTTGTGTGTGGGTTTAAACACCAGGGCTCTGGTTACACACTGTGGCTGAAGTTCTCGCTCCACCTGCTGGCAGCGACTCTGAATATTTTCTGAAGTTACCCAAGTAGTGAATTACAGGGAGGTGGGTTGGTTCAAGATGAATTCAAGTCATGTATTCCTTAGCAAAGATTTCTGGGAATATGTCATCATGCCAAACTTTCCCTCTTCCAATCTCCAGAAACAAAAGAAGTAAAACTAGTCAGCAAGTCCTGCAGGGTTACCAAAGCACAAATATTTCCCACTGCAGCAGGAGTTATGAGGTTCTTCCTGGACAGAACTTTCCCATCTTAAGGAAACAGCGCAAAAAGCAACTCAAAAGGACAGATCCCAAAATACTGTAATTTTGCTCGTAAAAGCCATGATGGCCCAGAAGAGAAGCCCAGAGGAGATGATTTAACCACTTTTATCAAACTGTCAGACATTCAAAATAGCATTCAGCTTCAAAGTTTTTGCCATTTCAGCCAGCTTTCGTACAAAAAGGTTACGGTCGTTCTAAGATACAAAACTCAATCTACAGAGCATCTATCGAAGTACAATCGTCTCGCAGATACAAACATGGATCAATAGCATAGCATCGAGCAGTCAATGGATTTAAATATAAAACCCCACATCATTTCAAAGACATTTGCTTGCAAACAGTTCATTAACTACATGCACAAGGAAAGATAAAAGTCTCCTTACACATTGTACAATCTCCGTACAGTGCTGGGTTTGGTTTTTTAAGAACCGAGTGGTAGGTACACAGAAACAGCGTTCTTCAGTCTTCTGCTCACTGAAATTGCAGCCATGAACACTCACCCATCTTTAGAACAAATCAAGCCACAAGAAAAAGAGGAATCTGAGGTAAGATCCACATAGGTTGCCTAATTTGCAGAAGACAAGACTTCCACAACAACCTACAGAGACCAATGTAACTGTTTCCCTTAAAATCTTCCAGTAATTCTGTTCTCCTGAGACCTCTACTCTCCATAGAGGAGCTTGTTGCAGAGAAACACAAGTGTCTGGTGTAAAAGAATGACTAAAACACCAAGTGCTCTTCAAACTGAAATTCTGAGCTAATATTTTGCCGTTAACAGTCCATTTGACACTGTCTCATTGAACATGAAGTGCAAAACAGGCCTAGAAATAAAACCAGCTCTGATGCTGAACAAATGAAACAGCCAGGGGGAGAAAAGAGAAAGACAGAGATTAAGGTTCAACTCATTCTTTCAATCCAATCTATGCCGCAGACATGGAACTTAAACTAGGGAAACAAAACCCTATCAGAACCTTTGTACAGTTTCTCTTAACGAAGCCTAGAACTACAAAGCCTGCTTACACTGCTCCGGGTGCTCCTGGAGACCCGGTTACACGGAGGGCCATGTCTCCCTCCAACAGCTGAAGAAAGGTCAATAAAACCCTCAGGGTGTTTCAGCCTGAGCTGTGGTAACATCACTACCAATCCAGCTTGTGCACATCATTGCACTTGGTGTGGGCATGAAGTTATTGCTGAAAAATGACACAATGGAATCGCTGGGCAATTCAAAGGAGATTATGGAGACCACACCTGCTAATATCTTGCTTCTGGAGAACACCTATAGAGCATATTTGGACTTCACCCAAGATGTGTGCAGTGGTCCTTAGCTGTACACGTTCTCTGGCTCCAGCCGTGAGGCGGGCAGGGACAGACACAGCGTTCGTCTGCTGCTGGCAGCTACTGCCAGGGCTGCTTGGCTGAAGAGGGGAGGGTCATACAGCTTTAGGTGATGCACTCCCAAGACCTAAAGGTCTAAATCTTTACCATCTTAAAGATAAGGGTGAATGGAGATGCATCCTTCCGAGACAGCATCTCCCAAGAGCTTGCTGTTGTGCCTAACAGTGAGAAAATAAGCCCTGAAAACTGAAAATGCAAGAGGCCCAGTAAGAGCTGACATTTATTCAATGCTAATACCTAAAGATTTACAGATACAGTGACTCTTTTCTCACCTAGAGAGACAGAAATGCACACCCACCGCTCCACAAGAAACAGCCACTGCCCACCTCAGTACTTCTTAAGGCTGCAGGGCAGAGCCAGACCCGATTTGGCAGCTGGGAAGGGCGGGGAGCTCCACACCGCAGAGCTCGTGCGCTTGAAGTAGCGCGGTTTGCTTTTGTAAAAGATGTCCTCCAGCTTGGGGCTCGCGATCACCCCAAAGAGCGCGTCAGTGTTGGGAGGGTTGTAGTACTGGTGGATTACAGCTTGGCTAAGCTGATTCCCTGCAGAAACAAAAGATTACATTTTCATTAATTTTTTTAATTGAAATTGCTGCGCAGGCTGTTTGTACACAACGTGTCCCTGCTCTCCTCATCCCTAATCACACCGAGAGCACAAATGGGAGAAATCCTGCAGCATCGGATGTATTAAAGCACCCTGCTTAAGCCTACAGATTCATTGTAGATCACTTGGAGGGCAAATATTGCATGTACTGAATTCTGTCCCAGAACTAGAGTAAGTTTGCAAGAGGCAAGGCTTCTCAGTTTTTCTTCCTACTGATACCGTTATTTTCCCCACAGCTTCTTGGCTCCCCTGGGATAGGGGGAATACGAAATCACAGAACTGAGTATTTCAAAACCAGAACAACAGCTGGTCTGAAACCTGGTCCATGACATCTGGCATTGCTTTGCTTTTTAAAGCCAAATCATTGTCAGGCAGGCTCAAGGCCAGAGCACTAGTTCATAATTATTCCTTTCACAGTGCCAAAGTGACACTAGCAGCTCTGTTAATGCAGTTTAAAAGAGAATTTGTTCCCCAGCATTGTGGCAAGAAGATTCCCAAGTGGTAGAGGAGCCCCTGACTCAGCACTCCAGCCATGCTACTGGAGATGAGGACTTTTAACTACTGTGCACAAGTAGGAGGAACTGCACAAAATCTTACACCAGGTCTTACTATCCATTGGAGCAAAGCTGCAGCGGGGTTTGCTGGGGGATGTCAGGCCAGATATCAATCAACCTGCTGACACATACCAGTGGCCCGAGCAGGGATGGGCTTGCGAGGTTGGCTTTCGTCATCAGTAGAGTCATCGCTGTTCAGATCCAAGCCATAGTTGTTTGGATTTATCGTGGGGACCTTTGGCTCTTTCGGGCCCTGTGGAGTCATCTGGTATGAACTGCAGGCAGGTGAATTCTACAAGACAAACATGTTCCACAGGCGTTAGATGCAGCGGCGCTTCCGAGCTGCACCGGGACACTCGTGCATTAGAATAGCTCAATATTCCACTTCCTGTTTATTGCATCACTGCACAACCTGAAATCTGGCAGCTCTAAAGTCAACCCAAGTTCTAAAGTTTTGACCCAATTATGACTTTGCATGGCCTTCTCCTGTTTAATTAGGCTGCTTAATTAGCTACATATGACATGAATAAGCCAGCAATAGATGCATTTAATATACACACAGCAGTTCCGTTTAATCCAAGCAAGGCTTAGATGGAGTTGTTACATCCTCAAAACCAGAGCCGAGTCACGCGCTCTAAATACTCTGCAACCAAACTTCTGGGCTTGTTTAGTAACATTAAACTATTACCACATAGAGAATATGCATGTCACAGCTCAAGACAAACTGTATTGTAATTTTTATGGGGACAGCATGACTGAGAAATGCAAGAGATGAAGAAAAACTTAAAACTGCAAATGTCACCAACCATGAAACACGTTTCTAGAGAGGTGGAAACAGATTTTCCTCCCCATAAGGGGCTGCCTACATGGCTTTGTGTCCATTAACGTGAACTCATATTTCACTGTTGCTGCATTTCAAGATTAAAATACATAACTTTGCAAGGACAGAAATCCATATATTTGTGTTCAATGTCCAAGACACAGACGTTCACCTACAGGTTTTTCTCAAGCTCCAACAGTAGCGAGGCCCAACTGCCACACTATTCCACAGACTCTGCTGCCATCCTGTGGCTGCTTCCAACTTGGAAGTCAAAGAACATTATTTCAGCCTCTCTTTTGCTGTGAGGTTCATCCAGTATTGAAAGAGGAGCAGCTTCAAAAGGCAAGGCAACTTTAACAGCCACTGCCTTATCCTGACAGCAAGAAAACCCTGGCAAATACTTGCTGCTTCCTTTCCCTCCTTTTCACTCCCCAAAAGTCATTTAAATACTCAAAGCCACAAGGAGTCAACCTCAGATAACCAGGGGAAAAAAGTTTACAGAATCCCTTCATTATTGAAAGGGAATATAAAAAGCAGAGGGTAAAACTGCCCATTGAAACAGCACGTCAGTGCTGGAATCAAAGTTCTCTGACGTCATCCCTTAAAGAAATTTCACCAGAGAGAGCAGAATTACCTCTTGTTTTTCTAGGTGCTGTGTTTGGGCTACATCTTTAGTGTTTTGCTCCTCTAGCAGTTTCTCCTCTTCTTGCTCCTGCTTCTTCGTCTCTGCTAGCCTCTGCTCTTCCTGCTGGCAAGCCGACGTCACAAGTGAATTAATCTTATCAACTAAGCTACACTCTTAATACAGGGATGATTTTTTTGATATGCAAAAAATAAATATCTAAGCATCTAACTGCAAGTCTTTGTTGCTTGTGATGCTAAAGAGCCCTTTGGACACAGTGCAGACAGTGAACAAATGCAATGCAACAGCTTGAGCTTTCCTCAAAGTGGCACAATCAAATTAACCTTCCCATTTGGGAGCATTAGCTGCCTTCCTCTGACAATGAGATGACCTCATGCTTTGAAAAACCTGCTACTGAGTTTATCTTCAGGATATAAACATTAGAAACCAGCTGACCATCTGCAGATGGAAGAGTTTATGCTACTGATCCTAGCCTCCTTTTAGACTAATAAATAGTATTTTTAGAGGCCAAGTCATCCCATTGTACAGCAACTGTCCCAAACGGGTCAAAAGAATCTCACCCCCTGAATGAAAAACTGAATCTAAAGGAAATCAAGAGGGTGATAACTCAACCAATAGGCATCTAAAATCCAGTGAAACAAATCCCACCCACCCTGAGCGGCAGGACTAGTTGTACACGCGTCTACCACCAGCCAACCGAGGGTGAGGGGCTGGCTGGGCACACAGGGATCCCACCAAGGAATTCACTTCATGAAGGCAGCTGGACAACTTGCTGTCAGAGTGCTAACACCACAGCTCTGCTAAGTGGAGTGACAATTATTTCAGGCAAATGCTGCACAATTTCCAATCAACTATTCCAGCCTTCTGTTCTTTCTCACAAATTGTCTTGAAAGTGCAAGTTGTCCCAGATCTCACATAAACCAAAAAGCAGCAGTCCAAATAGCAAAGGGTTTGCTGCCAATTCCCGGCAATTACTGTGTGCAAATCCTTCTGAAGGGATATTCCAACCTGAGAAACACTGAGACTTTAACGCTGCTCCAGTGAAAATGCATGCTGTGAGCTCAGTGAAAACCTGAGCCTATCCAGCTGCACTTGCTTCATTCAAACAGCAAGGACTGCCAAAGCATCAGAAGTTCCCTCTTGAACACCACAAGCAAAGCCACCTGCTTGGTTAAGCTGTGCTGGCATGACCCTTGCAGAAAGTAACCTGACCAAGTCTACAACCTGTACTTGTGGTTCTGCTGAAGGTGGCACACATGGGAAATAGAGATGTCGCTTCTGAAAAGTCTGGGATTAATTACTGTTTGATATCAAGAGAGGTACAGATACCCCTGGGTACAGAAAGGGGGAAAGTCAAAAACCTCACTTCAATGTGTGTGTTATCTGTCCTTTCTTCTTGTGCTGCTGCCATCTACAGAGGGTGAGCACAGCTTCTGAACGGACAGAGAACAGACTCGAGGTAAAAGCACCTTTGGTGGGCTCAAGGTCAGAAGTGCAGCAACTCACTCATCGGGGCTCCTGATGGCTTCACAGCTCAGCTGCTCCTAACAGTAACAGCTGCTGAAGTCAGATCCATGTGGCTCTACCCATCTACCAGAAGTACTTACTTCTTTATCTTCTGTCTCCTTGTAGAGCTCTTTAGCAGCCAACACTTCTTTCTGCAGGTGAGCAGCCTTCTGCTGCTGCTCACGTAGCCTGAGAACCAAAGCAACAGAGATCATTACTCTCAGAACTACGTGGGGGTACCCTCCCATCCAGTGCCTGCTGCAAACCCCTCTTTTTCTCACAGCCTGTCAGGGCACTCCCCACCATACTTCCTACATTAAAGACCAGAATTTCTTCTTGGCAGCCCAGTACCCCTGACGGTCCAGAGTTGCGCTGACAGCACAAAGTAGCTCTTCACTGCTTGAGCCTTTCACTAGAGCCCTCTGTTCCTGCTTCTTTTCAAAGACCCAGTACAGAATTTAGCACATAAATAGATATTGTCTTACTTTTCTGCCTGGATCCTCTCCTGCTCCTTCTTCCTCTCCAGCTCTCTCTCTGCAGCCAGCTGTTTCTCTCTCTCCTGTTCTGCCTGCCTCTGCTCCGCAATCTTCCTGGCACGTTCCTGCTCCTCTTCTTTCCTCTTCTGTATTAGCTCTTTGTGCCGACGTTCCTCCTCCTCCTGGTAAGCCCAACAAGGCAATTACTCACCTTACATCGTACAGTAAAAGGCTCCAGAATAAAGGAGCAGGAACATCTTATTTGACCCACGTCTCTAGCATCTATCAACACACAGCAGGGAAACAACTCAGGGCTAAAGTCCCAGTGCTCTCGGGGTAGGGGCACCATCTCTCCAGCTATTTCAATGCTGGCCTTTCCCTGCCCACACTGTACCCCAAAGGGCCACCACGCTCCGGATCTCAGACAGACAGGTTTAACCGAGAGACTGTAACACTTGCCAATCCACAAATTAAGGTCTTTACAAAGAATCTGTCCAGAACTGCGGAAGAAACGTGGGTCACAACCACCACTAAGAGCTCACAGTATATTGCCAGAGGAAGCAGGAAGCACAACACCCTGGAGAGCTTTAAGGACAAAGCCTCTCTGCCACAGGAATTTTCTCTCAGTTGGTTCGTGTGAGTACTCCCACTGGACTCCTTGCTTACAAAGACTGTGGCAGATTGCAGCCACTCTAACTGCTCACAGGAGGAGAGGGTAGGCTCCAGCACAGACCTGCTGCAGTGCTTTTTGTCTTCTGGCCTCTTCATCATGCCTGCGCCGGGCCTCTGCTTCTTCCATTTTCCTGGCAGCTGCCTTCTTTTTTATCTTCTCTTCTGCCAACCTTTCTTCCCGCACCTAAGACACACACGTCAATAGCTGAATACCTAAGTCTCAGGTGGGACAGTTCTCTGTGCACATGAAATATCACAGCAGTAAATCTCAAAGATGCAGAGCTCCCACCCTCTCATGGGGCTAAAGGTTCCTTTTTTGCCACCAGGAGCCAATGGAACCTGTGCTTTATTTTAAAAAGGTAATATTTAGGGAAATTACTTTCTCTTACATCTCCACAGGAAGAGCTGATCCTATTCTGGTATTTATATGTCTAATACCACAAAAGCCATCAGAATATATTCTGAGAACCATGAAATAAGAAAAGCAGATGGAGATAATTACAGCAGACAAATGACTGCTATGGTCATGTGTGCAAATTGTCTGAAAGGCTCAGATACAAGAAAGAGTCTGGAGGAAATAAGTTTTATTTTCACCTCTTCATCTATTAGTCAGATGGGAGAACAACTTCAAGCAGATAAAGCCTCAGGGTCATTAGGCTGGCTTTATCTACCCAAAGTTCTTCTCTCATCTGACTAACAGAGCCTTAATAAAGCCAATTTAGACTGATAATTCCGGAAAATAAGGGTTGCCATTTGCTGTAACCAAGAAAAATGCAGTGGCTCAGAACCAGCAAGTTTCTGGAAAGATCTTTATTCAACCTTTTTCCAGTTTATTCTCTAAATATCAGCAGCCTCAGTTCCTCTCTTTCTGGAAAGCACACTCGTGGCATCATCTACCTCAATAGATTATTTATTTTCCAAAAAAAAAAAAAACAAACCCATAGGTATGCTGGGCCTTACCTTCTCAGTCTTCTCATCAAACAGAGCTATCTTCTGCTCAATACGCCTTTTCCTCTCTTCCTCTATCTGCTCTGCCCGTTCCCGAGCTTGCAACACTTTGCGCAGGCGCTCCTCCCGCTTCCTACAGGACACAGCCCAACTTCATCATTGTAGTCCAGCTAGATGAGTTCCTTCCAACTCAGATACAACAGACACAGCTCTTGGACAGCAGGAAATTCAATGAACCAAATACACCATTCGTTTAAACATTAGCAAAATATTTAGGCTCTACCTGAGACAGAGGACTTATGAAAAGCTGAAGCAGCAGTGAGCTAGGATAGTTAACTTTTTATTAGCATTCTAGACAGGTACTATGAGAACAAATGCTGTCTTTGCAGTGTGAGAGCAAGCCAGCAAGAATTATTGCTGCATGTATGGACTCTGCAAGATAAAAGACCTCGGTATAGGGACCTACAGGTGCAGGGAGAACAGCTCCAGACAAGGCATAAAGCAATACTCACAGCCTTGCCTCTTCTAGCCGCCGTTTCTTTTCTTCCTCCAGTTTTTGTTTTCTCAGCTGCTCAGCTTCTTGCTTTTTCCTCAGAGTCTCTAGCTTCTGTCTCTCCTTTTCCTGAGGTGGATTGAAATGTGATTATACCCACCCTGCCAGGGCTTCTGTCTACCTCAATTTGCTCAGGTTAATTAAGGGTCCAGAAGTAACATCAAGGAACTGCAGCCAGAACCAAAGGATGGTAAGGAGACTGACACAGAGCTGTCATGGATGTTTGGGAACAGATGTGATGGAAAACAAGGCTGTTAATCTTGAAATTAACAAGCAAGAGCAGAAGCTGGGAAGTTGAAACAGAAGCATCAGCTCCTGAAGTCCAGGCAGCTTCTGCAGAGATAGCAGACAGACAGCACTGGAACTTATTTTGGTAAAAAGAACCAAAAAGGCAGCGCTACTGCTTGGCAATGACACTGCCTTCCTGCAGCGAGTGCAGGGACAGACAGTGCTCTAGGAAACACCCTGCTTCAAACTCAGAGCTCCCACTGGCATCTCTGCTTCCCACAAAGCTTTATCTCATGGTAAACCACCACCATTTGCAGTGCTCACAGCCTGTTTCAAGCACACAGTCAGCCCCGTACGTCATCTAGACAGAAACGCCGGGCATTTGTCCCGTTTTCCAAACGGTCCAGCTAACTCAGCCCAAGTACTGTCAATTAAAGAGCAAGATCCCACCGTCACCAGTCACAGCAAATCGATTGAGTCAAACTAATTTAATGCCAGATCTGATACTACAGATGCCTAATTACAACAGGCCTGGTCTTAGTACAAACTCATTGATAAGCAGGCAAAATATTCCAGTGATTATCTTATGCTAGGGTCCAATGGTTTGTGTTATTAGTATCCAAACTGGCTAGTTTAAAACTAATTATTCTATCTTATCACTCTGGTGCTATTTAGTTATGTTTAGCCCCAACAAGGAAAAAGTCCTGAGAGGAAGTTGCCCACCCTGCAAGGAAACCTAAAACATAACATTCAGCAAACTGACAGCAACAAAGGATGCACTAGTCAGGAAGTTCTTCCCATATCAGCTCCTTTGCCAATACAGACACCAACGTCAGCAGGAGCACCAGTGAGACTGAAGCTCGAATCCTTCACTGCTTCCTGATGGCAGACTCCCATCTGCTGGAGCACAGCAAGACTCTGCACAGTACAACTGTGACAGCTTTAAGCAAAACAAAGAAGCTCTGATATTAGGCGGCCAGATAAAAGCTAGATGCAGGAAAACCAGTTTCTGCAGCATGCCCTCCTCTCCCTCCCCAACTCTCCTGCAAGTGAAAACAAGCCCTAGAAGTACCTTATTTTGCAGGCAAGTTGTTGGGTATTAGAAGTATCAGCAACCTGTGCTTTGCACGCCAGCTTCTAGCATGTCCCTGGGTACATCCCTGAAGCTACACCCTTGTACTTGTCTGACACTGTCAGAGCTAGTCTGGAACAGGGACTACAGCACAGTGATTGAAACCTGCTTTTCCTTGAACACTGACTTCTCTTCCCAGTTCAATACAAAATCTAAATGCAGATCAGGTAAGAGCAAAGGCTGCCCATCAGTATTCCTACTGCAAGTCCAGCCTATGCAATTAAATGATCATGATGTAGGATCAAATTGCCCTGTGCAAGCAGAACACAGGGAAAACCAACTCCCCTTGGAAATCTAGAACCAGATCTCAAATCCCATCTACCAAAACAACTACCCTGTTTGGGTACAGGTGCTTCCTCTGTGATGCTGTCAAGTTCACTGTGGTAGTGCTTAGGTACAGGCATCTGCCTGCAAACTTCTTAGTTTAATATGGGTTGAAAAGATTCTTTCACATCTGTGTTTTAACTTAGACACTCCTCAGACCATCACGTACTAGCTTACAACAGAGTCTTCTCTTACCTTGGGATCAGACTGGAGAGGAGTGTTGTATCTGATAAAAGATTTTATGACTCCATTTCTCCCCACAGAGCTTGGTGTCATGAGGAGCTGGTTCTTCTGCACAGTGTGCAAAAACGTTTTAAAAGGACGAACAACCTACGAGAGGAATACCAGAAGTTACCCTTAGGAGCGTAAGAAACGGCTCTTGGTGAAGTACATCAGGGTGACAAGGATCTTACTTTGCTGGCTGGAAAGGTGGGGGATGGAGTCTTCCTTCTCGGAGGAGAAAGCCCTCCATCTGCTGCTTGCTGACTGTCATAGCGATCATCCACAGCTCTCTTGTAACTGGGCTTTCTCCTGTCAGAAAAATACAGTCCATCATACATGGCAAATCCTCCTGATTGTCTCAAAGTCAGGGTTAAAAAAAGGTCATAAAACTATCCTTGCTGAAAAGATATTTGTGTATGCACAGGTAGCTAGCCAATAAAAAAATTATAATATGATAGAAGATACAAATTAAATCCTCTTTTCATAGAGGCAGAGAAAACTTATTGCAGAAGTTTCATAGTCACAAAACATTTGAGTGTTGAACCTGCTTTGAACTGGACTTACAGATCTCCAGAGGCACCTTCCAACCAAAATGATTCTATGAACATACCTGGCACTCTGGGGTGGTTCCTGGGTCTCCACATTCTTATTTAAGTTGCTTTCTGAATGAAAATATAGTTACACAATTAGCTCTAGTAGAAAAAAAAATCCCTTCAACACAGATTTGAAACCAGACAACAGATTTAGCAGCTCACTAAATAGCAAAAAAAACCTGCCATGAATTATGCACAGCAGGACCTTGCTTCCTTTCAGCAAGCAACCACACAGCGCCATTCAAACCTAGAAATACAAATTAAAGCAAAGCTGTCTAAAGTCATCTGTGGTGTGAGGCTGGCACCAGTATTGCCATTGTGTTCTGCAGTTACAGAGCAACTGCTTGCTTCAGAAATGGGGTTCAGCCAGGCCTCCCATAACCTGGAGAACACTCATCCCTCCATCTTCATTACATCTATTTCCATGTGCTTCCCAGGGTGGAAAATAACCCCAGCACCAAATTTCCTAACTGCTAATTTCCTGAAAAAAATCCTTGCTTGTCAAAAACTATATTAGTCTTTCAAACTGGGCTCTCAAATTAATTATCCAATCTTTCAAACTTCCCAGTCAGCCTCCCAAAGTGATGACTTTTAAAAATTCTGCAACAAAAATCCTCTGGAAGCTACCGTTGCTGCTCGTCTCCTGGGGCTCTTCGTTTCTGCTGACTGTTTGCGAGCGAAGCGACATTCGCGGACTCTGGGGATTCTGTAGGAAAAGCACATGGGTTTCAGCACAATTCTCACAGAAACAGTCAATTACTGTTTCAAATCATGATGTCATTCTGACGAGGATGCTGCCTGCAATATTAGCAGAGAATGCAAAACCGCACGCATGGTGCAACGTATTGGTACCAGTACCCAGAGTGAAGCCCTAACCTCCAGCTGCGAAAATACCTCAGGACACAAGGTGGTAAATTCCTTGATGTCGTGTCATCACTAGAAGCACAGACACGGACAGAACACAAGTATCTGCAATGAGGGACGCACTGCTTAAACTGAACAAACTCATCAACTATTAAGGACAAAGCATTTCAAGTTGGAAATCTGTTAGTGCTTGCTGGACTTCTGGCAGAGTGTGGCAGCACTCATTTTACTTAGCGGTGATGAATGGACCAACAGGGAGACAGCAAAAACAAACAGCCCATTTCCTTGATGCATCTGTTTGTTATGGATGCAACATGCACGGCTGTTTGCTGCCTCTGCACTTACACCGACAGAAAATTATTTCTGTTGTGATAATGGGTTTATATGCCCATGAGAGCAAGCAATGGCTTTTGAAATCCCCACTCTGTTAGCAACGTGAGCATTAGTTCCGTTCCCAAACCCATGCTGGCAGCGTGTAGGCTGGCAGACACAAAGGATTGGGGAAGAAAAAAGAAGTATGGAGACGTTATCCTCCCCAAATGCTCCTGTAGGGTCCTCTCCTAAGGCAAGGTGTTGGAAGCAGCTTGTAGCTCAACAGAATGACATGTATTAATTAATTTGAGCTCAGGCCTGAGAAGAATTTGACCTTTAATGTATCAGCATGCAGACAGGTACTGTCTTTATATGTTCCTATAGACAAAGATATTCTCTGGTTTGAGAAGGCTGCCAAGTCACCGCATTTTCACGCTGCTCACAGCTCCGGAGGGAAGTCTCTGGCAGAAACTGACCATGTTTGGTTTGCTGAGAAAACTGCTGATGGACAGAGAGATAGACAGGGTAAGGCAACCCGGTGAGACAGGCTGAGAACGGGACAGGCTACAAGCTCCCACTCCCAACAGCAGTGGTACAGAAAGAAAAAGTGAGGATCAAGGATGGATCAAATACTCTGCATGGGCTAGACTGGAGTTATAACTTCACCAGGGTACAGAAACAAGAGATACAAGTCCTCTATTCAAAGATTAGCAAAGCACTGTTCATTTTTCTCTTCTCCCCATTTTCCCTTTAAGCTTTTCTACAATTGTAACTCAAGCAAGCTAAAAATTCAGAGGCACTAGAAAAACTGAGTTTATCTGAATGTTTGCAGAATTCCTGACAAGCACAGCCATAAAAGCATGCACGAGCCTGTCCTTGCCTATAGAAGTGCTTAAAGCCACAGAGCTCCACTCCATTAATTCAGTTGTTGCTTACTGAAAATTATTCTGGACAAAACACTGACATAATCCTGGGATTTCTTCCTCAAAGGCAGCAACAATTGTAGAGGGATACGTTTTGACCTGAATGATATTTCCAAATTTCTGTGGTTGTCTTAAGACAAACTGACAAGCTTTGAATAACCTGAAGGACTAACAAAAAGGTCAAAAGAAGCTTTAAAAATACAGAAGTAGTAATAGTGTACAAACTGTCCAACTGAAAACAACTTCCCTGAAAGATAATAAGGTTATTTATCTGTATAGATTCAGGATTGAATTTTCATATAACTGATCTCTAGCAAGAGGCTAAGAAGCAAAAGCCTGAAAGCAGGAATCAACTCTGAATGCCAGCGATACCAAGGCCGGTGTCCAGCACTGGTGTGCTTCAGTCCATCATTTACATTTAAATGTATTTATGCAAAATGACAGAGAATGCTATTTTCTAGTGAAAGCTAGCCTTGGTTTTGAAAGCACCTGAGATTGTAACTCTGTACTGACAGAACACCTCTACCTGCATCTAAACCAGGCTTTGGGTCACACGTGTTCATTTTCCAAACTAAACTGTACTGGGTTTTGTTCTGTCGATTTTGGAACATTGGGATTAAAATGGACTCGACCATCTCAGAGTTTCTTCAGCCCGTGTATCAGAACGGGGGAGGCTATGGATGGGCTCGTGCACGTACACGAGCCGAGTGCTCCGTGCCTTCTTTATTCAAGTGCCACGCAGCAGGCTGACCGAGCCCGGCGATCAGCAGCCAGAGCTCCCTAATGCCCCAATAACCAATGAGAGGTGGATTCAATACTTTTTGCTTAAAAATCCATACAAACAGAAATGCTTTTAATCTCTCTGTTCAAATCTTACCATCTTGGAAGGGGTACAAGGTTCAGGAAGAGGCCTAGAAAAGAAAAAAGGCAGTCATGTTTAGTAACATCAAGAAAATTGGGAAACTGGTGCATTTTATACCAGGAATGGCACTGTAAAAAAAATCCTTCAAGCAGGATATTAAGGATAAAGAAATATCTTAAAGTAGTCTCACCCAGTTTTGAGAACTGTTTCTTCACCTTCTGGCATCTCTCCAGAGCTGGAGGCTGCAGGGAAAGAAAAAAATGCCAGAGCTGTAACATACAGGTGCCGGCCAAGGCTCTTGGTAGGCGTGAAGTTCTCTCCAGACTGTTGTGGAGGCCTCTGCTCTGCCTCCTGGGGTGCTGCCTGCAACCCAAAGCGTGCTGCTGCAAGTAAGGGTGGCTGAGTGTACCCAAAGTAGCACTAGAGAAAACACTGCCTGCAATTTTAATACAAGAAAACAGACATTTTCAATTATAGATGAGCTCAAAGTGCTGTTCAATGAGCTTACATTAAGAGCGACTATGTTTGGGCTTAGACTCATTTTGCAGGGCCATATCCAGATATTAACAGCAGTTAAACCCAGCATTATTTACAGTCAGAGAGCTGCTTCCTGCTAAGCGATCCAGCTGGCTCCATGGTAGCTAGCTTTTAAGTACCAGCACAGCCGGAAACTGCTGTTAATAATTAAGAAGGCGACGCAGCTTCATCCCGAGTGGAGCACACAGGGGCAGACTGCACAGTCAGAGCGTGCAAGCACAGTGTCTGCTCCCACACTGCCACTGTGGATGGCGTGGAGGGGAGCAAACACACACCTGCTGCACCCGTGTCCAGTGCAGGATCTGCTCAGCAGAGATGTGGCTGACACACTCTGCAGTCAATTAACATGCTCTGGGTATTCAAGCATTAACAGGCTCAACTGGAGCTGCCCACGTCTCAGTTCCTCTCTCACACCTGGAAGTTTTGACTAGGCAGAGGAAGAATTGTGGCAAGCAGTGCAGAGGGAAGAAATAAAGCCTTCCTTAAACCTCCCAGGTAATCCAGATCTGGACAATACAGACTGATCATTTAAACTGGGTAGATAAAGCTACTTCAGCGCCTCTTCAAAATTACAGAGGAAAAGACTTTCCTACAGTTTCCATTTTTACTGAGGGAACCCTCAACACTCTGCTTAGAAGCTTCCACAGCCACTCCACACTGGCCTGTTAACAGCACAGGAAACCCTGTACTGGGAACTGCAGTGCTCTGGGGCTGGAAAAACATCCAACTGGAACAGTTACACTGGTATGGAAAAAACCCACTAAAGCGCTTCTCCAAATATATCCTCCTACAGAAAATGGGGGGGTGACTCTTCAAGAAAAGTCAGTTGCATTCAGCAAAAATCCCTGACAGCTGGAGCACTGCAGCTGAGCACCTAACAGTGATGTGACTGCAGCTGCGTTAGTCCTCCCTTCAAACAAGGAAATACACTGTGCAAACCAGCAGTCTCTCCTCAACATCAGAGTGCGTGGAGAAGGTTCACCTGCATCTCCTGCACTTCAGCAGCCAGTTACCAGTCCACCATTTACTGGCCACTTCTTTCCCTCAGCTTGATTTAAATCAGTTTGTCATTCACCAAAACCTGCCTCTGTTGCAAGCTGTAAAGGTTTGGAAGACTTAATAAATTTACAAAGTTCTGCTTTAAAATTCCCAAAAGAGAAGCTCTAGAACTAGCAGCCAGGTTCTGTTTAAAGAGCAGTGACTTTGTGATAGCCACCTCACTTACCAGAAAACAGACAGGCCTTTGTGACAACCCATAACCCTCCTGAGCAGCTGCCACCACAGAAACTCAGAAGACATAAGACTGTTCTCCCAGTTGATTTACAAGGCTGGATTCACAGGCCATGAACTCACACAGTTACCTGGGTTTCTCTACTCATAAGGTCTCTAGAAAGGCAGGTAGAACCCCCAGGCTTCACTGCAGCTTCTCTAGCCTGGGCAGATCAGCTGCTGCACCCACACTGAAGAATTAGCCCCATAACATTGTTTTCCTTCAGCAGTGAAAAGCAGCAGATCAACAAAAAGAGCAGGAAAGGTGCCAAGCAAACCCATCTGGTGACACTCAAACTCACCATCCATGTGACTGGAGGACACGGATGACTTGTGAGCTGTCTTCCTCTTGACCATCGTCCTGGTGATCGATTTCCGGATCATACTTTCCCTCTTGCTGGCCAGTGAGTATTTCTCTGCCAAGGAGGTTCTGCGAGTCATGGAAGTTTTACCCATCAGGCTTCTGCGCACCGAGCGACGGCTCAGCCTGGCGCCTGTCGGAGTCCCTGGGCTCTCCCTCATGCGCTGGGAAGGCTCCTTATCAGGCCCCTCTTGTACCTGAGCAGAATCATCTGCCTCCTCCAGCCCAGGCTCTTCGCTTAGAATGACTGTGGTATTAGCTGCCTTTGCTGTCTTCAGCTTAGACGCAACCTGCTTTGCCTCGGGGGTACGAGGCACCATCGGCTCAGGGGTCGCCGGCACAGGCGGCGATTTGGCAACCTGGCTTTTCTCTGGAGAACCATCCTCTGAGCTCAAGAGGATGGTTGAGGAGAGCTGCTCTGCTGGCTTAGACGCGCTCTTCTGGAGGTGCAGCTCAGCACTAACGCGACTGCTGACATCAATTTCTACTAAGGGAACCTTCCCTTCTGCTGGCTGGACAGGAAGGGCCTCGGGAAGGATCTCTGAGCTTTTAGCAGATGTCGCAGCCTGGGATCTTGTCACACGCTGAGGTGGAGAGACTTGTTTGGCCTCAGCCCTGATTAGTTCCAGGTTTTCCTTATTTCGGAGTCGTTGAGAATACCGCACAGAGGGAATCTGTTTGAGACTGCTAGTCCTCCTCCTGGATAATCTAACAACAGAAACAGCGCGTTAGACCGGCCCTGGATCCGGAACAGAGCAGAACTCCTATGGAAACAGCCCTGGCAGGGCCCTGACTGAAAACACAGACACAGAAATAACAGTGTGTCCATGTCCCTGTGTGTGAGGTCCTGTGGGACAGCTCGCTGCAGCTCAAACCAACACCCGGGACGAGCCCCTCTGAGAGCTCAACACACACAGAGCCACAGAGAACGGCTAGAGCAGAACCACCCAGTCGCTTGGGTTGGAAAAGACCTTCAAATTCACCGAGTCCAACCGAGAACCCAACGCAGCCGAGCCCAGCTCTAACCCGCGTCCCTCAGCGCCACGGCTGCTAAAGGAAGCTGCAGAGGAACCATCGCCCAGAGCCGCTTTAGAGTGGGAGAAAGAACAAACACGGAGACAGAAAACGTGACGCATCTCCGGTCCCTTCCCTCGGCCGCAGTGCCATGGCGCGCCCGCGCTGCTCGGCCGTGCGCTCCGGGGCCTTTAACGGGAGGA